CATTTCTTGGCAGACTTTCTGTCCCATAATTATATTTTCTCTTGTTGATGGGTTTCAATGTTCTCGGAGGAAAATGTTTCAGAAGCTCGTAGTCATATTGTAACAACACAAGGCATGACACGGAAGCCAAGGTATACTTTCAAACGGCTATTTATGCCTATACAATTTATATTCTTTAACCAATCACTGAGCGTGTGATTTTGGTTTACATTAAAGGACATGAAATAGAATGTTCATGCCAATGTACTACTGAACTGTGGAAATAGTATATAGACGTTAACACCCACAAATACAATGATTCTTACTGTAAGAACCGATTGTCTGCATCATAATACCACAATAGTTATCAACTTGTTTCACTGCATGGATTGCACTAACCTTAATTATGAATGTTTTGTACTGCAAAACAACCGTTTCATATTGCAACCATATGAGGATAGAATGGTGAATTACACAATAAAATAACTGTATTGCATTTGCTATTTATTACTGTTTTGGTTAGTTAAATTGATTCTAGAGTAATAGTAAATTGAATGACAGTATTCCTACTATAAAGTTGTTCTTAAACATATAAGAATAAAACCTACGCACTGTGGTAGAGTGTAACTCCAATATAGATGAAATTTTATTTTGATAAAATCACACAGTGTTATACAGTAAGTAATATTTACTGATGAGGACGTTTCGAGTACAAATTATCACTGCTCATGATCATATCAAGACACTACTCACACAACTTTCTTGTTTCATTTAAATACATGAAAAAATTGAGTACATAATTGAATAAAATCAATGTAAGACAAAGTCCATTCGGAAATAATGTTAGTGTTGTCAATAAAATACAATAAGATGGGGATTAAATTTATTTCATAGTAAAAAATATGTAACTTGTTAAAATGTTATAATGTGAATTGAAATAACTTTTAAGATTATTTATTATCCTCTGATTTGACTGGTAATAACATCGTCTATATCTCTGGTATTCGCGTTGAGTCACTTCTGTTGCTCGTGCAGGGTGTAGACTCGATGAATCAGGATTCAGTAATCAATCAATCTCTTCACCTTCTAATATTACTTTTTAGAATTTTGACCCTGTCCTACTCCATCTGTGTGGTTGTGTGTTAATGCATGCAGTACGATTGCTGAGTTTTTCCTTAAATTACTTATCTTCATGGGTGGGATCAATCATTCTAACCTTAGCCACTAAATTCTTATGTTCTGATAATCTCACTACTCATGATCTACGTAGTTGACCTGACTCACAGTCATTGCAAAGTGTTTTGTATATTATATTATTTTGTTTAATTGGGTCAACTGGGTCCTTTAGACTACAGAGCTTGTCTCTGAGTAAGTTTGTAGGTTTGAATGACACTCTAATTCCTGCTTTATTGAGAATCCTACGTAAGGAGGGTCTCAGATGTCCTCTCCTTATATGGTAAAACTGGAGATGCCTTATATTCCTTCTTATTTATGTTATCATTGTTAGTTTCACCATTATTTTTATTTTGCTTTTGAACTTTTTTCATATTCTTAGTGAATTTTATGGGATGGTTATTTAACACCAACGCCTCTTCTATCTGTTTCATTTCATCTTTTAGGTTTTTGTTATACTACATAGTGCTATTGCTCTGTTTTTAGGCACTTAAAATAAGCCTGCCTTTACAGATAACGGATGAGATGAATTAAAGTTTAAATATGTATTAGAATTCGTTGACTTTTTATAAACGCTAATGTGCAGTTTATCTTCTTCTATTCGTTTTATTTTACAGTCTAACATAGCTAATTCTCCTTGTTCATTTTCCGATTCAAATAATCTTAAACATGTAATAATTCATCTATCCCGTTTATTCAGTTTTAAGATTTGTCTTATAACTGGTTTCTGGAAGCTATAGAAATATATTGATTCCGGAATTACTTTTACTTACATGTAAAGAGAAAGTGTTTTGCTTAGATGTATGGGTTATCTAAAGCCTTATGTAACTCGATTCAGTTCATTTAATGTAGGTCTCAGGACGTTATTCAGTCGTTAAATTAAGCGATTCAATAGACTACCTTTTCAGAAGCTAAATTTTGTCTATGAAATGTTGTATCAAGAGGCGTGGGAATCATACTGAGTTCCATGATATATGAACTGTAGTTAGGATTGAAAACATTATTGTTTCTGTACTTTAAAGAATCAAGAATTTATTTGAATAGCTTAGCTACATTTTCAATGGATTTTATTCTGAGTTGCTAAATTTCGGATCTGCTTGATTTTTTTCCTTCACGTTCGCAGTGGAACTAGGGCTCCAAGCTAGAGGCTTGAAGTTTCTGTAGCACTGTTAATTTTTACAGGATGGGGTTGCTAGCCTCATACCCAACCTTCCCTCTTTACCAGTCTCACTGTAACAACAGAAGACAAGGGCCAGTCAACAGATCGTTTATTAAGGAAATCAACACATATTTATAGATTTTCATGTACATATTATTGATTATTGTTAGCAGAAAAACACAGTCTTCTGATTGGTTTTTTCTCACAGAAAGTTAACCTTGCATCTCTTTGTGGCCGTTTCTTGAATGTCAGATCATCTATATGTTAACTGTATCCACCTACGAAAAGCCTTTGTTCTCACTTTTATCACGACCAATATTGGGAACGTAAACATTGACGTCAATTACTATCCACCAATTTTGACTAACAGCCAGCTGTCACCATATCACTACTGGTTTAGGGAGGCAAAGGAGTGCGTCGGCCGGGGATCGAACCCCGGACCATGTGGATGGTCGGTGAGCGTCCTAACTGCTATGCCAGCGACGCTTAATAGTATCAGTTTATTCATCCTCACTGAAATATCTTTTTTTATGCATACTGGCAGTCTCTGCCGAATGACTCAAAGCAAGTAAAAGATATATAAGTCTGGTTACAGGATTTCATCATGAGCTGACATTGGTTAGATAACTACTGAAAAGCCTCTGCATACCGGACAGCTATTTCGTCCTAGTTTGGGACTCTTAATCAGTACGCACCCAAGTCTTTTATGAGAATGAACTCAAATTTTTGATCTCTAATCAATACACGAATATATATGTTGCCGAGGTTTTTTTTATTTTACTTTGACTAAGTTGATCTTGAAGTCAAAATTTTAACTGACAAAAGATTCATCACGTTACTTTGCAGGATTTCCATAGAAATCACTCATTTGAAGTTCCATGACAAAAGTTTCACCATATGTCATTGAACTGAAAGCCTTATCGACCTAACTTCCAGTCCACACAGAACAACATACCCGCAAATGTCTGCATTCTAAACTAAAATGTTTTCTGTAATTTCTGTAGTTCTTTCTGTCTCAAGAAATCTTTGCATACATAGTATGAGCAGGGAAATGGCAGTTGCTGTTAACTTATACATCATAGTATTTAGCTTCATAAAGATTAGATAAAGAACTAGAAGCTTTATTTATTAGATTGAATTAACTAACTTTTTTTTCAAAATGAATTTAGACATTCTCGTAGCATAGAAATGGAAAGAAATGAAACAAAAGAGAAATAATAAACAATTTCAAAAAAATGATGTGTACAAGTTATTTCAGGTAAAGAAAGCAAAAAGTAGTGAAGAGAAACAGGACCGAGATATCACTTCAAACATACTGACAAACACGCACACACACACTACTTAATATAAAAGTCAGTAATATAAAAAATACTTTGACTTTTTTTAACTATTAAAAAAGAAATGACTTCGAAAGCAATGAACCAACCCTAATTGAAAAAAACACCTTTTTTGCATTGGTGTATATTCAATGTAATCGGGATCATCATCGTTCAAGAACAACGCCTTATTTACGGAGAATAACACATCGAAATAAGTTAGTCTCCAAACAGAAAAAAATAAATAGTATTTCCGATCATATTGTCCAATAATTGATGTTGTTTATTAGTTACTAAAATGATCCTATACACAACATTCACAGATCAGGTTTCCTTCAGCGGGTAGCAAAAAGCTAAACATTCACGGTAGTGAGCATGTTTCAGTTTTTCAAGTAATCACCAACTTACACATGAGTGTGTGTGTATATATATATTTTTTTTTAGCGTCACCAATAAATCCAACACAATCATGGACATTTTGTTTTTAGTGGAATGTCCTCTCCTTTGAGTAAATGCTTGATACAAGAATCGATGATGAAAGGTTTCAAAGCTAACTCGAAGTATTTCTTCTTTCATTCTTTCTTCATTTCTTTCTTTTTCGTTTTTTGTCAAACACACATTTCAAGGGGAGAAGAAAAGTAGGAGTGGATAAGAAAAAGGCAGGACAGACAGATTAAGATGGTTCAAACTTAAGGAATTAATATTTCTATAATATAAATCTAACTAATGACAGGTTAGCTGATATTTTAGAGAATATCCTTCCATTTATATTTGCTACCACAAAAAAAATCCACAGACTTAATTAAATACAACGGCTACTTTTTTTTCTTAACCTGAATATTGCCTATACTTTTCATTATCTATCAAAATACCTGCCATTTCGTAAAATAGAATTAATATAGATATATGTGTATATATGCATCATAGGAGAGAAATAACAACTACACCCCCTTACGGAATGACATAATTTGAGACAGAGAAGCGTTGAGAAAAGTCTAAATTAAACAGAAATTGGGACTAAATAAATCTCCAGTCAACAGACCAAAAATAAAAATAAATACCAAGTGAATCACTTTCAGATTGAATTAAAAGAAGACGAAATAGAAGGTTAATTTTTCTTTAAATGTGAAGAATAAAAGAAATTCAAATAGACACACGCATATGGCAATATTGTTAAGAACAAAAGAATAAGACAGAGAAGAGGGGGAAGCATATATTTAGTAATATAATGTGAACATAGGGGAAATATTTTTTAAAATTATTATTATTATTATTAAGATATCATAGCAAAGGGTAAATGGATTGAAGATGAAGAAGGGAGGAGGATTACATTACTTTTGACATTTAATTCTCCCTCTTCAACTAAACAGTTTTTATGCATCATCTTGATTACCTCTCTTGATGAGAGTTACAAATTTATCATAGTCTAATTGGCCTTGTTTGATTGGTGCTTCCTTCCATGTTTGTCTTATCTGTGTTGAAAAAAAACACAAAAACAAAAAGAAACAAAATTCAGTTTATAGTTTGCTGCTGTCTTGTACTTGCCTGTACAAACATCCTTAGACAGTTCTATACACCTTATAGTCATAAACATTTTAAACACGCTTCAAAATCGCTAAGTCTATGTGAGAAGTACTTGCAAAGTAATCTCAAAGTTTGAAACATGACTGAGATATTTATCACACTTATTGGTTACAGGATTTCATCATGAGCTGAGATCGGTTTAAGAACCATTGAAAAACCCACCAAGGAGTACTGGACAGCTGTCTCGTCCTAGTTTGGGACTCTCCGGCCGTACGCACCCACCGTGGTTCAAACCCAGGACCTTCTGGTTACAAGGCGAACTCGTAGACCATTAAGCCGCTAGGACCCGATTCAATGGCTCATGAATTCTGACCTCTGCCGATTCATGATATAGCGCAACCGCTAGCCAATGTGTCCTCACACCCAACCTGCTGCACCCTACTGCTCACGACTTCCCACTGGAACCCCAGGTAACTACCTAGCTGAATAGGGAAAGTCGCTAGTGAGCATCTCATTGATATTCAAGTAGTGGTTTGTAGGTATTTGGTTGATTGGTTACAGGATTTCATCATGAGCTGACATTGGTTAGAGAACCATCGGAAAACCCACCAAGGAGTACTGGACAGCTGTCTCGTCCTAGTTTGGGAATCTTCATCAGTACGCACCCATCTCCACGGTTCGAATCCAGGACCTTCTGGTTACAAGGCGAGCTCGTTAACCCGTCTAAATGTCTAATTCAAACCCTACTTTGAAAACGGCAGAAAGATGGTAAGGATGATGTGACAAGAAGTTAATAAGCAGTTGAAAACTAGTATCGAAAATATCTTGTAGTAGATGCCTTTACAAATCACACTGAATATGTGTGTTAATCATTAGACACAGTATCCTGAACCCAATTTGTGGTTGGAGTGCATAAACTAAGCATTAAAACAAATGCTTTAGAAATGATACTAACATATCACTAGAATGATTCAAATAGGCACATTTCGATCAGCATAATATTGATATTAACAATAATATGGTAAGCAAAACCAAAACTGTCAGTCAATATTTGTTTATACAATTACTACTTTATTTGTTTGACAAAAATGTTAAAGTATTAAACAGTAACGATCAAATAACAGGAATCTCTTGGAGTTTTTGTGCCACTTGATTCTCGTAAGCAAGAGGTATTTATTTTCAAAAGAATGGATACTGAACAAAGAGTACACGAAGAATCAAGTTCCTAAAGCAACCGCCAATATAACTCGCAATCAAGGAAATCAATCTGTCTAAGAGTTTCCAACCCATATCACTTCATAATACAGTTTGAAACACAACTACTAGACGATTTAAACTACTAGTGAAATACAAAGTTTACAGATATGTCATACTGACTAGTACTACCAAACAGAAAACCAAGGTTTAGCTAATCGTTTGAATTCCTTCAAACCACTTAAAGTCAATCAAAAGTACATCAGAATGAAGAATGTCCTGGCCAAGTGACTGACTAAACTACAAGAAAAGTCCTAAGTTATCTGGTGAACCGTTGGTGTTATTTCATGCAATCAGTAGCTATAATTCCACTCAACCTCTTACATGTAGAAATTGATTGTTGTGGTGACAGTCAGTTTATGGGAAAATGCCAGGAAGTCTCATTCAATACTTCCATACTTCCGTTTCATAAAGAATTCAACTTAAATCAGTTTGCAGTCTACGAAAAGCATAAGGTGAAAAATGTTTGAAATCTAGTTTCTTATGTTATGTTCCAGTCAGTAATTGCTCTTCGTCAGAACAAATATTCACTTAACAGATATACACACTAAGAACATCTTTGCACTACATTTGATTCCCTCAGATTGATTATTAATTCTATCAAGTTGGACAGGTAAAAAAGCTTATTGATATGAGCGCTAACGATAGTCGAAAGAAGCTGTTAGACATTAAAAAAGTAAGCCTAAAGGAAGAAACAGATATGAGGAGTGTCGACTGAAATAAACTGAAAGTAAATTATTCCATCTGAATTAGATAATCTGCAAAATAAGCAGACAGTAGATCGGATGAGAAGACATTTGTAACAACTGACAGCCCATTAAGTCCGTAAAACATAGAGGGGTAAACAGTAAACACATCTGTGTCAGTAACGCTGAAATTCATATGTACAACATGTATTTGCCTACTAGTGTGCTGTCCTGTTCTAACAACTGCAGTTAATATACCTAGAATTCTTCAAGGCTTCACATTACTTACATTACAAAACTTAGGAAGCAGTCTAAGTGACTGAAATAATTCTGTTTTGTAACAATTCAATGGTTCAGCAAATCAATTCACAAATAATCATTCATATTTACTCACCTCTTCAGCACTGAAATTATCACCCATATTTTGTAGAAGATCTTTAATACTAAAAATGAAATTGTTAATATGAGCAAGTTAATAGACACTTACTATTCCTCTTCTAGGTATCGTTTGTTCCCTGGATCGAACATGGCAAAGGCATTGCGTAGTGCATCTTCAGGGTCAGTACCTTAAATAAATTTTTTTAAAACAACAACAGTTTATTAGAAAAAACAGTTCAACAGTTGCAAGTTTGGTTGAAATGAATAAGATAAGCCAATCAAAGGCGATAGTATATTTACCGTTCAATTTTTCACCAAATAGATTTATAAACATTGTGAAATTTAATGGGCCAGGTGACTCATCTAACATTTCTTTCAATTCTTTATCAGTTGCAGTACGACCTAGAAGAATCGAAGGAAAAAAATTATTCTCTTTCGAAACTTCAAAACACCCTGCCTACCTAATGAGGCATACATATCTTTCAAGTCTTCAATATCAATGAATCCATCACGATTTTGATCAATTAGTGTAAATGCCTAAAATAGTTGTTATATTATATTGCATTAAAATCGAACTGTTGCACAACACACACACATACCTCTTTAAATTCTTGTATTTGATTCTGTGGGAACATTCCAAAAACATTTGAAGTAGCTCTTTGAGCTCTTTTCCCTCCACCACTACTACTGGTTGTAGTTTCTTTTTTTTCTTCAACTGGTTCATCTTCTTTTTCTTTCTCTTTTTTCTCTTTCTTCTCTTTCTTTTCTTTCTTTTCTTTTTTCTAAAATTTAAAATATACATCAACATTAAGAGTGTAGACATTCAGTATAATTAAATCTATGCCTTCACTCATATATAACCTTATTTGATTAACTCTCTTGATTGTTTGTGAGTATGTGAACATCAATCTATGAACCATTTATCCATTTATAAAATCAGGATACAGTCACCGATGTCTGTAGGTCTTTTTATAACTGTTTTACACATTTTATTTCTATAGCTTACATTTTCCAGGGAAATATATATAAAAATTTATCCGAGTTCATCAGGTGAAATTATTTTCGAATTTTAAGTTAGGTTTCATTTCAAATCAACACTAATCAGGTAACCATTAAAGAACCAGAAGCTTTGAGTAGTTATTTTGTCCTATTTTAACGATTACATTCAAAATCGAACTGAGAATCAAGGTGGGCTAATTATTAAACTTAATCTAACTTAACAATTGATTGATTAGTTACGTCACTCAATCATCACTGGTTTCATCAACGAGTAACTTTGATCACACGTAATTTGATGTCCTTTCCATTTAATTTAGCACAATCTTGAGGATAAACTACTGAAGAGTTTAAAAATACAACAAAACAGTTGCCAAGGGCTCTAACTGATATCATGACAAGATTTATTGTAAATTGAAGTAGTCTTTAAAACCTCTACTATCTAATTCCAGATGGTTAAATATAGGTTACTTTTCTATGTACATATTTAATCCTTTAGTAATATTAATGTCTTTGAAATGTATGCTACTTAACCGTGCATATTATGTTACCCTTATCACTTGATGATGTAGTCATTGAAGTGGAAGCGCGTAAGCATTTAAAAGTGGAGCGAATATTTCACTTAACTCTTTATTACTGCTATAGTAATTTTCTTTGCATGATTAATTAGACTATTAGGATTATTAAAGGTGAGGTAAGATAGTTTCACTTTTGGAAATTCATTGTCCAATTCACTTTATCCCATTACCCTATGGAATGTTAGTTCTAAAAGATTCTTTGTGTAAAGAACTACAGGTTATGAAGTTTTATTTATTTAGTTTCGCTATTAAGAAAAAATAAGTGTTAGATTATGTATCATTTAACAGATGGTGACTAACAGTGGATACGCCTTTCATCCTATTTACTAACCTTCAGTTTTTCCAGGTCACGGAACATTCTAAGTTATGATTATCTGTAACACGCGTGTCTGACAACTCAAATATTATCATACTGAGTGTAAACAAATAAAGAAGCTTCATCACTAACAGTCTTAGATAAAATTACAGCACTATGCAGAAATCAATTATTCTAGAAGTAATATTTCAAGCATTTTAAAATTATATAACTTTATTTCTATTAGATATGGTGAGTGAAATTCTACGGAAAACGGTAGGTGCCGAGTTTAAGTCACGACGAGAACAACATCAATTGCTGGAATGAGGAAACACGCAGTTGATAAATGTTTAGCAGAACAAAGCACATTTCCACTGTTGGTCCTCGTCAAACAAGTAATACTATTTAAATAAATTGTTATGCAATTCACCATGCTACTAAACAGACAACTTAATTTATATAATGAAACTCCTGTCATCCATCAGTCATCACTGCCTTTTCATCATTTTTCATTCTGCATGAACTACGTGTAACTGATCCACAACCGCGTATTTCTAGAACAAACAATTTTTGACTGTCTCAAATAGGAATAGCAGCTTGGCGAATAAAATTCTTATTTAAGAAGTAAATGTTTGATTTGAATAATATCACCTTTCATCTAACTAGACGCAGTAAATGAATTGTATTCATTGGTTCTTGTGATACCAGTAGCCTCCTATACTATGACTTAATTTAATCAATTTACATTGCTTTGTTCAGTATAAAATACAAATTCATTTCAGGATAACATTGTACGGACAAAATATTCAATAAAATAAATAAACAAGACAGTAATGCAAGTGTATCTGAAATAGGTGATGAACTGTATTCAACCTCTGATTTATACTACTTTGAGGTATTTGGGACTTCATACAGAAGTGAGTGGGACTTTCAGCTGCTTCTAGGATTTACAATGAACTACATAGTAGGTGCCAACTAGTAATATATATATATATATAAAATGATAACGATGCATCATTTCGTTGTATGAACAACGTTAAATTTAAAAATACTCCAGATAAATCTTGGTAGATTTATATTCTTCCAAATTTAAATATAATTAAGAACACATAAATCAGCTAAGAGATCTCTTCTCCTAACTTCTTTTCAATGTTCTACAGTTACTTGAAGGTATCCATGTACGATGTAAATTAACAGTAAGGGTCAAAGGTTATTGAAATGTGATTAAAAATAAGCGATTCGTTCAATTGTTTTCCTTAAACACACTAGATTCTAATAGAAAAACTTTTCTTCAGGTTTACGAACACCTTGATACCAATCAATGTGTTTAGACTTCAACTGTCTCAACTAACAACACCAGATCATATTAACTAACATAAATTTATAAAAATGGTTTCAATGATTAAAAAAGGATTGGCAAAAAAGTTATCAAACAGACTTACTTCTTCTCCCATGTTGTTTTCTCGGTGAACTACTACTCGGTAAGAACAGAAGAAGTTAACTAAAAGAAGTAAATATCTACTGAACTATTATTACTACTATTATTAAAGAAATATATATTCTAACCACTTAGAACGTGGGCGTTTGAATCGCAATACGTCAATGAAAAATGTGTATTCAACTGTTTAAAAAGTCAATAATATTTCACTTTCAAAGATAATGTCCAATAGGATTCAATTGCCTGTTTCAAGCAGTGTATAAGGCGTGTATGGGCGCGTGCGCACACACAAGCACAGTAACACAGATTACCCTAAAGAGATTATGGGTGTAAATGCAACTGTGAAAAACAGTTTACCAGAGGATGTGTGCATTCTTATAATGAAGAAGCAGGAAATCCTATATAACCTTTCTTTCACCTAAAATGAACACAAATCAATAATACGGCAAACAAACATTAAGAGAATAAACTACCTTTCTTATTCGATCTATGGATTTATCTTATGTAGGAAACCATTGGTCAGTAGAGGTTAGGGATACAATGTTCCCTAATAAATATTTTCCTCTTAAAATAACACAAACAAACATGTATGATGTTAGGGTATTCCAAAATAGATGACTGTTAGCCTATATATCTATCTCGGTAATAGAATGGAGTGTTTAAAAAAATCATTTGGCAAATAGTTTCTATTACTATAGAGAAGCAAAAATAAAAATAGTTGATAAATTTAAATCTAAGGTAATGTGCTGCTAGTTCGATGTTTGTGATCATAAAATATAAACAGGGAGAAATGCGAAATTAGGACAGTAAGCGAAACGTACAGATATATGATTTCCATGCCATTTTCATAACACTGTGAAGAAGAAGAAAGTGATGTGAACAGAAAATTCCTGGCTAACAATTACTGATTTCAGTCTCATTCACAAGAAGACTGAAGTCTTTTGTGTAACTGTTCAGCAGAGTAATGACCAATTTAAGGGAGAGAAAGAGACATTTTAAGGCATCAACTCGTAGTGATTGTTGGTGAAGTTTATTAAAAACAGAAAACTTTGTAGTTGATAAGGTGGTATTAAAAACAGTGTTTCAATGTGTATGAAATGTATTTAGCAGTAAATTCAACTTTTGCATTTAAGTTTGTCTTGTATGTAAGAGGATTTCAAATTGTTTAACCTGATATATGAATGGAATCTACGTCAAAAGCTAAAAATAGCTGCACTGTGACATTTTTGAAGCGTATAAGCATATTATTATGGTATGGTGTACATCACTGTTGTATTATTTAGTTTAATATCCCTACTGAACGATTCATTAGCAGAGTTTGAACAACACATAAGGTCTGATAATCAGACACTATATTTTCGGGGGAATAATAGGTGCACTAAATCCAGTAGTGAAAAGCTTAGTGTTACCTCTGACAACTTCGTACATATGAATAATAATGACTTCATTTTAGATTAGATATACACCTCGATAAATGCTAACACAACCTAGCGGAAGTTGGAATTCATGGACTGGCCATTGGATCGGGTCCCAGTGGTTGAATGGTCCTCCAGCTGGCTTAACTTGTAACCGGAAGGTTATGGGTTCGAACCCCGGTGGTTGCGTACAGCCGAAGAGTCTCAGACTAGGACGAAACAGCCGTTTCGTACTCTTATTTTTTATTTTATTTATTTTTTGATTACAGCTTGATTCCACACCGTATTTTTGGTACAAGTGTGGAATTTTCAGCGTGGATATCGATAGCCCAGATAATGCAGGCTGACCATAGATATCAGGTGTGCGTCGGCAGGGGATCGAACCCCGGACCATGTGCATGGTCGGCGAGAGTCTTAACCACTGTGCCACTGACGCACAATGGTACTCTAACCGATGCCAGCTCATGATTAAATCTTGTAATCAATCAATCAAATCCCTACAAACCAATACTTGAATAACCTACTTTTGCTAAATACTGAAGATCCGATTGCTGTCCAGATAGGATAAGTGACAGGGAAATCTGGCAACAAATTAACCAGGAAATTACTGACCAATAGACATGCAGAAACAAATGCAATTGGACTGGATATACAATGAGAAGATCACTGAGCGACATCACGCTACAGGCCCTCAAGTGGGACGTAAATTGGAAAAGACTAGCTGGGCATCTGAAGGTGACATGGTGGAGATGGTGGAAGGGGGAAATGAAAGCTTACAGGAAACCATGGTGGTAGTTAAAAAGCGCTTCAGAGAACAGAGTGAAGTGGTAGTGTGTTACTGAAGCCTTTGTTTCCATAAGGAACACAAAGGAATAATATTAATGAGAAAGAACATACATAATGTTTACTAACTATTGGTTACCATAACAACGAGGAAGTACTCTTAAAATACTCTGATTCAAGTGAAAATCGAATGCAAAACAAAAACACTTTTCACAACACCTCATGAAATAACGTTTCCCAGATTAAATTAAAGCCAGAAGAATGAAGAGACCGTTGGCTGACTGACATCATCAACACTGCATGTACATGTATATCTGAGTAGAGATGTTTTAGTTAACATGCAGTTTCTTCCATAAGCGTAATCAGAATATCACTGTAAAATAAAATATTACATTAAAGTAACATCTATAACTCTAAGGCCCAACAACCAGCTTATTACAGGGATTATTGCTATACAATATGGATGACTTCCATTATGCGACTGTTAATTTATCGTTTCATTTCCAGAGACTATTATAATGACGTCTATCTGTCATATAAGTCACCTTCGAGATATTATACAATACTGGAAAGAAGAAGGCTGACCTCAGGAAATTATGATTATGAGTAGAATCACAACTGTTGATTTCTTTACGTGATTATTGTAAATCCATATTCTTATCCCTTATATTTTTCACAACACTGGGTGTTGTCTTATCAAAAATTGTGGTCAGCTGATTGTTATTTATTGTTGAACCCATCAGCATCATTCTGTATCACTAGTTACATACAGTCTTACAAGTAGTTACTAACACACAATGACTTCTGTGATGATTACTAATAGGTATATGAAAAAAATACAAACTGACGTCAGGAACATCCTGCAGAGATAATATTTCATCATTACAATGAGTAATACTAACAATAAAATAAAAATATTCTTTTTAATGTTTTTTCCCTTCACGTTCCCCAGTGGAACATAGGGCCTCAAGCTAGCTGCTTGAAGTTTCTGTAGCAGTGTTTATTTTTACAGGATGGGGTAGCTAACTTTATCCCCAACCTTTTCTTTTTACCAGCATTATTTCTGGCTTAGCGAGATAAAGGAGTGCATCGGCCGGGTATCGAACCCCGGACCGTGTGCATGGTCGGCGAGCGTCCTAACAACTATGCCACCAATGCATTTATCCTAGTAGAAATGATGAACAGTTCCTAGTGCTTCTTAGTAATGTATATTTAATACTTATATGGCAATGGGCTCTTCATTAGTTCCCATTTTGGCAGATTCCTTTCTAAGTTAATTAGAAAATGGACTTTTGAACAACCTTATCAGAAAATTCTCATTTTATTGCTGGGATGTTAATGACACCTTTATTCTTTGTGAGGATAATGATTCGGATAGGATCACAATAATAACTCAATTGAATGAAGTATATTCTGCTATGACTTTACTTTTACTGATGAGAAAGTGGTCAACTTTTGTGCAAATTTAATGGAAATAAGTGAGTAGTCACTGAGAATTTAGAAATTTAACGTGATGTAAATTTTTTCAGGGTTTTCATTTAGTTAGTAATGTCATTTCTTTGCAAGTGTTGGTTTGTAGAAATTTGATTGATTTCAAGGCTGATCACGAACTGACTTCAGTTAGGGAAACACTGAAAGCCAGGGGGCACTGGACAGTTGTATCGTCCTTGTTCTAGACTCTGCAGTAGTACCCACCCACGACCCAAACAGGGATCAAACCTATGTTGTTTCAGTTTGCAAAGCAAGTTTGCCAACCAGTAGTGCTGCCTGATGACTGACTTTAGGATACAGTTGCCTGAAGTCCTGGAGTAAAGGTGTGACCAGCAAGGTTCACCAAGTGGAGTATTAGGACAAATGTTCCCCGATGACATTGGCCCGCAGTCACACGAATTGGTTGAAATCGGAATTCATGGACCGTTAGACTCTGTCCCAGTAACTGAATGGTCGATGAGCTCGCCTTGTAACCTTAAAGGCCTCGATTTGGATCCTGCCGGTGGTGGGGTGTTGGATTCGTACAGTCGAAGAATCCAGAACAGGGACGAAACAGCTACCCAGTACTTCCCGTCCTTCAATGATTCTCTAACCATAGTCAGTTTGTGATCAGTCATGATGTTCTATTTCTGTGAGACTTAACGATTTTTCATAGTAATATGCAGTATTCCCACTATTCTTCGAACAAGGGACCCCAACCAACGGCTGCTACCTGGATGTAGCGGTCGGCATTAAATATCACAATCACCCAGCAAGCTATACTAGATGGAACTGATATTCCTGCAGGTCCTACCATGTCAGAAAGGTTATTCACTTAACCTCACCTGGCCGACAGAGTGAATCTGCAAAATTCACCTCATGGATGTCAGAAGATTCTTCAACTAGTCCACGAAGACTGGCAGGTGTAGGGGTAGTGTTGATTGCTAAAGCAGAAAAATACCTAATCGACTGGATCTCAGTGAATGAATCCATTGGAAGAAGAAAAGTCTACGATACATGTCGAATTCTTTTCATGCTCTTCGTTTACTTCCCAACAGACTGTAATTCGAATGAAATAAAGGATGAGTTCTGTCAGAAGCTGCCTAGTTTTCTGCTTAAATGAAAACTCTTATATGTAGTCGTTTTAACAGGTGATTTCGCTGCTCAAGTAGGAAAGTTGTGCCAGCCAGAGAAGAATATTGGTGGCCCCCACAGATTTCCATGCTAATGAACTAAAGGTAGTGAAAGTGTCCTACATTGATATAAAAATAAAATTTGTGCACTGTGGTAGAGTGTAATTCTATTATGGGTAAATTTCGTTTTGATAAAGTCTCACAGTGTTATACAG